ATGCATCGCCCTTAGTATACTAAAGGGTTTAGGGCTTAGGGTCGAGGGTGCAAGCTTCAGTGCTACCAAAGCTTCCTTAGCTTGCGCGTTATGATCCACAGTAGTCGTGGAGGCTCCCGCATGGCGATCATCTTTGGAACTGAACGGGAGAATATACTGGGGCATTTCAAAGACCATGGGAATACACAGGAATATGGGGGTACTGTGGGTCCCTTCTAAAAGTGATTCAGGAGTGCTTCGACACATGTAAAGGTCTGGAAAGTCGATCGCCCCTGATTTGGCTCCGAAAATCCTCTATGACCCGAAACGTACGGTTACCTCCGTTTTCTGGCCTTGATTGTATACGGTCCTACAAGATTTCATCCATCAACAAAATAATATACAAGACTGGATGCTCTCAGATCTTCCCCGTATCGATACACTGAATTGCCTCTCTTGTTGGGTATAGGCACATATAAACATATACATACCTGTGTATATGTAGATGTACATGTAGATCTGGTCTGATAAGGTCAAGATACACAAGGCACAGCTCCTAAGCCCTTAACCCTGAGGAGTGTGAGGCGACCCAGAACCTCCAAACACCACACAAGCAGTGTAAGCCCTTGCAGATTCATCAGGTATGCCTGCGTTCGCACCTTTTTGTTCAAGAGCGACGCGCAGGATTTGACCACCGTACCAGCCGCGGACCCTATGGTGGCAGGATGAATCTTGCACGACCTTGTATACATGATACCCTCAGAATTGCACCTTGTGGGGGGGGAATCTTGAAAGGTTAGAAAAGTCCTCCATGCAATGCCTACGGTCGTCCCATTCGTACCCTATGGAATGTTACAGACTACGAAGGGGCACATCCCGGATGTACTTATAGCGACCCAGATTAGGGTGCCTACGAGGTTCCGCGCTGGAATTGGTTCCATAACCCGTTTGACTGAGCCCTGATGGATACCGTTCCCTACTGAGTGAGCTCCAGCTGAGGTACATTACCATTAAAGAAGATCGGCACCACTTTCCTGCTAGGTCTTCCAAGTACCTCAACACATTCCAACACGGCTCAAGCATCCCTCCTCCAACCTAAACTCTGTTTCTCACAAATCCTTTCAACTGATCTTCACGTGCCCCTACGATCTGTTCACAGACCCCTTACACCCCTGGGATCCTTACAGGTGGTCAGGTAGCTACGGTTCGAGAGAAATTGCAGGAACCCTCATCCCTCACACATGGAGCCGCCCATCTGCGAGGTGGGTCCTGCCAAAAGGACTCTGGGATTTGCAATTCGTACGAGGATGTGGGATATTTAAGGATGTGCAATGCCTAGCGATTTGGGCTTCCTTCTTTGTGGATTTCGAGACCCGGGCCTATGGTCAAAGGTTAAGGGTTTGGGTGTTCGACTTTGAGATTCGTCTTGAGGAGTTTTTGGCAAATCGGTGCAGGACAGGATTCAGGTTTTCTGGGTTTGGGTTTGCAGGCTTGTGTCGCCCCTTCTGGGAGACTCTATAGAACAAACTAGTACCATGAAGTGAGGATTTTTCGATGACAGGATAGACGCACTTTAAGTTTCACTAGTCTTACCGGACTTCCAAAAACAGCTTCACATCAACTTCAACGCAAACGCTCCCACCGGCAACTACCGGGTGAGCACGGATCCTAACAGGTTGGGAAGCACACAGCACAAGCCTTAAGAAAGCGCTAAACCCTCAACTCCACGACCTAACCTCCGAAGCTAAGCTGCTCTCTGCCTGTATGCCTATGCCTTCTGTGAAAGGAAGCCCTGCTGCGTTGGGTCGTCAATTGCAAAAACCTCATGGTAATCCCTCGCCCCTCACACCCCGCAACCCTGAACCCCTCCTTGGCACAACTATGAGAGGCTTAGGGTTTATGGTTTGAGGGGTAGGGTCCCGAGTTTAGGGTTCCATGTTTAAGCTTGAGGGCTAAGGGCCAGGATAGGATGCATCACTGCATATAGACTTATATATATTTCGCATCCGGGCTTCTCACCAAAGATAAATCCTGCAAGAGATGTGAGAGCGACCATAATGGTTTCGAGATTTTCCTGCACTCCTCAAATCCGAAGCCACAAACTCCTGAAACCCTAAGCCCGAAACTCGTAACCCTAAAACCGAAACCATAAGCGGCTTTCAGGTTAGAGTCATGTATTGTCTTTTCCACTCAGCTGGCAGAACCTTCTCCGGCCCTAGGGGCTCGTCTAGGGCTAAGCGCACTGCACCCAGCGTGGTAATGAGAGCATAAGGTTTGGGGGTCAAGGATCTATTGGGGTGACATAGGGATAATGGAATAGAAAACAGAAACTACTGTAGGATATTGGGGTTATATTGGGGTTACATCATAGGGGCTAGAGTCTAGTCCGACGTTCAGAGCTTACGGGTTGGGTGATAGGCATCAGGATTGAGGAGTCGGCTTAAGGTTTGGGAGGCATGAACGTTTGGATGCTTCGCACGTGTCTGGAATATCATCAGCAGCCCTATCCAAGAGATTTGCGGACATAAGGCAACTGGCCGCAGGTGCATGCTCCCGAAAGCCTAATTAAACGTGAGCCCTTTGGGCTCCAGACAAGAGGATTAAAGCCGTCGGGCAGACGGCTCCCTTCGAACAACAACGACTCTTGATCTCTGGTGTTGCAGATGTACGGCTTGCGGCTGAAAACGCCCTCTGATCAACCCTGGGCTAGCACACCAAAACCCAAAGCCTCACGCATATGCCGTGAAGCCTAGCCATCAAACCCTACAGCATCAAACTCCAAAACCTAAGCCGCTTTTTGCAAAGAGGACAATGTCCCCTGTACACCATCCGAAACAGTAAGAGCCCTTTATTGGAGGCTCCAGAGGAACGCCAAAAACTGGCTGAGACGCCCGTAGAGTCTAAACCTTACCCTCGAATCTCTTCGCTCAGTATATCCCCCTACACTCCTGTATCGTCCGAGAAAGGCCCAGAAAAGGGACCAAGTTGCAGGAGAAATCTCCTAAAGCATTAAGGCATGTATCCAGTTCTTCAAACAGTGGATTTAAAAGCTTAGGGCTTGGAGTTCAGATATTCATTTCACACTTGATCCACCTAAGAGGACAGCGTTTACTGCTTGCTTTCCTCTCACAAGGACGCCATAAAGACACCATTGACTTTGAACCCCTTGAAGGCTCGAATGCCGAATACAATCCTGAACCCAAAGCCTATAAGTCTAAGTTCTATGCCCAAAATCTAAAACCCAATCCCTGGACCCCAACCCCAGAAACCTCGGGCGCCAAGCCAAAACGACGCAACTAACTAAACCAAAAACCTTAAACTGCTTAGGATGAAGCCTAAACACTGGACCCTAAACACCAAAACCTGAAAACCCTTAGCTCCTAACCAAACCCTCGCTGTCTTCATGACGGCTGACTTCTGTGTCCGCATCTTGCGTCACACATCACGCATTATCTTGTGCGGCGTGTTGGAGATTCAACTAGGTGGTCTTGAGCTTGCAGTTGGGGGTTTAGGGGGGGTCAGGGCTGGGGGTTTGAGGGTAAGGGCTTTTTGAACCTTGAGGGTCGATGGTTTAAAGTTTTGGGGTTTGGTGGTGATCCTGGTTTCGGGAACAGTGGCTCGGTGCTGTTTGGAGATCCTTTCGGGATGCCAAAACCCTCCTTACACTTCTATTGTGCTAAGTAGGTGTATTTCCAAAAATTCAGCGTCCCTCTCAAAATGCTGTAATCCATCTTAGAGGCGCCCCGGGACTCTGAGCAGCACTATACTACAATTTAATACCAAGTTCAAAATACTGCTCTCCCTGAGCTTGGAGAGTAGGCGCAAGAGGGGCGTTGCCGCCTGGAAGTACAAACATTACAAGCCTTGAACCGTGAATAGCAGCTTCTGTTGTATTTTCCGTTATCCCTATATAACCTCTATATAACCCTCCTTGGGTCTGAGATTTGGGATCAGCGCTGTACAGACTGAAATGCTGCTGCTACCTTGAAACCCCAGATCCTACAGAAAAAGCGCATGAAGGATCTAGACCCTACGAAGCTCTGTAGAACTAGTTCTGGGATTCTATATTTATACGGGCCAGTTTGAACCCTTTCCCACAACCATACACTCCGCACCCCGGATACTCGGTTGGCTACTTTGGCCGTCTGCATACATCCTGCGACGCGCCTCCTTCCCCGATCTGTGCAATAAACAGACCCCTAGGGAATTGTACTTGCCGGCAAGGGGCTTAGGATTGATGAAGTGGATAAGCAAAAAAAAAGTCTTATACATAATTGGTTGATGTACAATACTTGGGAACTGCGGGGTTCTCTTCTTCCGGTTAACTAATCTGGGATGTTGTTGCAGCGCAAATGCAGATGAGCATGGTTATCCTACTTTGGGTTTGCGCACACGGAATCATGTGAAAGTTCTTCAACTCAGTTCTCCTTCTTTGCACTTGTAAGAGACAAAAGTGAACTTGCAGAAGTCTCAACCCAGTAGCTTCTCAACCAACAGCCCGGTTTTGGACACCAAAAACTACATGCCGTACTGTAAACACTATCCCAGGTCGGCCAAACAGAGAATAACCTACGTCAACAACTGAGCATGTGGTCCCCAACCAGTGCAATCCCTGAACCCCAGTACATTACTAATTTACCATATACGATGGTGTATTCTAGTGTTTTATGGTACCTTGTGATATTTCATTCTGTAATATGGTATCTGGTATCTGAGAACACATTCAACCCCTCTAGTCATGGACCTCCTAGACCTCCCATGCTACTTGAAACGTGAAACCGCACAACCCTAAATTTCAAGCCAAGAACCAGCAGTCTTGGTTGATGCTTGTCGAGCTGCGCTCTTTTTGGGGGAATGTCGAATACTCCCTATAGAGTCCCTTAGATCTTGATCCCCCTACTCACCCTTTCAAGCAAGGTGGCACGACCAGGCACCCAGCAATCCCAGAAAATCCAAACACTGCCCTGGAAGGGCACGTTCCGTCGGCAATCTCTTTCTGAAGCGGCTCGTGCAGGGCCACTTTAAGCGGCCGGCGCACCACTTTTAAACTTCACCAGCTCTTCTGCAATCATTCGCGCAATCTCCATATCAGTTTTCAGTCGTGCAATCTCCGTGTCAGCTTTATCGCGGCAATCAAGGAAAACCGTGGAGCTTGGAACTACAATGTTGAACAAAGTCCCGGCCTCTCCCGTCTTGTCATATGCATGATCAGGGCCATGTGGAGGCTGCGGCGGATACGAATCCACAACCCTCAAGGGCAGCACCCGTAGCTTTCTGTCCAGGGCATATTTCAGTTCAGCATTGGAAGAGTACGGGGACGCCGTCATTTCACCGTAGTTCTCCGTGCACACGGCGATCATGACTCCCTTTTCGTTGTCCAGCCTGGCCAGGTGATCCATCATGAAGTCGCCAAACTCGTCACCTGGACATGTGCTTAAGCCAGCATAACAAGGGTCAGTCCCAATTTTTTGGGTTGCTTCTGGAATGCTCCTAACGCCTTGAAACCCCCAAGCTCGAAACCTTGTAGCAAACTCCCACCTCCATTTGTAGCGACCATCAAGTTGTCAAACTTGTGGTCTTTCAGGATCCCATGAACTCTTCGGAACTTCTGTTCTATCTCCTGGGCGGTTGCCGATCATGGCCGCCATGGTTAGCTAGATTTAAGCAATTATTCGGAAAAGTCTTTTAAAAAATGGCTCAATAATTTCGAAGTCTCACCACCATCAAACCTTGCTGAAAACATCGACACGGGAGCCTTGGATCCATCTGGAAACTCCTCCACCTGCTTTGGGGTTTGGGTGCGCAGCGCTGCAAGAACTGGGCTGGGGAAGTAAGGTTGTCGAGCCAGAGCTTCAGGGCTGCAAGTATAACCCCAATACTATACCCCAATATCATACCTCATTATATTACAGTTAGAATTTGGAGCTTGAGGATGCCGCTATAAATTGTGGCCGAAGGCTCAGGCTTTCGTAGCTTCGCAAAAGCAAAGCAGTGGGGAGGGGGCAGGGTTTAATGCCAGAATCTACGGCTGAGCGCTCTGCAATGCTGGGGATATAACCAGATCAGAGAGGGAGAAGGAAGCCAATCCTAAACTCGACTCTACTCTGAACCCAAAACCTGAAACCTTAAGCCTTAAGCCACACGACATAGAGGATCTCCAACGAGGATTCAATTCTTCCAGCGACAATGCAACACCACACCCACAGCTCACAAGCCTAAACCCCAAAACCGCAGGAAAAAAATCAGCCATAACCCCAACCCCCAAAACCTCAGCACTGAACCAAACCCCAAAACCATGACCCATTCAGAATTCTGTAGACGCGTCTTGCCTTCAAAGCTTCCGCGGACGCCGGCGCTGTCGAAGTGGCCCCTTCAAGCAAAAAAAACTGGGGCGAGGGAAGCATTCCTTAGATTTATGGCGTTGATGTTATAAGAGGTGTCGTATTGGCCGACCATGAAGCGAAACTGTACCTCACATTGCGCATAACAATGCATGCCTTGATTGGCTGTTATGCAAGGCAGAAAGGGTTTCGGTGCAGCGTTCCTGTGTTGCTTCAAGCTTTATTTGGGCTTTCTGCAAGGTATGTTCAGTGCTGGTGATCCTTTTAGTTTTTTGGCTTTAGGGTTGAGAGTGCTCTGCATGACCAAGTGGGTGAGTGCTTCAGGCCTCATGTCTTGAAGTTGGAGGTGAACCCAAAACAAACCTAAACAAGCGAAAGGCTTGCCCAAGCTTCATGCTTGTGCCCACATTACAACGCAGCCCCTTTACAAGGTCAATTGAAGGATGGTCAAAAACCATCACAGGGCATGATTGTAGGCGTATTACTACACCGTAAAAAACCAAGGACTATAGTGACACCCAACAGCCCTCCAAGCAGTCAACCACCCTCCTCATTCATGCCTGCTCTCCAGGTGGGCAGCATGTCTGGGGGTCCCATGCGATTAACTCCCAATAGACACACGTGTCAGCAAAACCCTGTTTGAAAACGGATTCGTGCAACAAAAGAGCCAATGCACGCGCCAAAATGAATGATTCGAGCACCAGCATTACCCCAGGATTCGCACACTGCCGTCAGCTGATTCGCGCACCAAAACCGCGGACCAAGAATGGATTCGCGCACCAAGGACCCAAACAAGATTCGCGCCTTTGCGCAAAACGAACGCTTAAGACCCTGAACCCTAGCCCTAACACCCTAAACTCGAGAAAAAAACTTCAACCCTTAAAAATGCTAAACCCCAAAGGCCCTAAACCCTAAACACCACAAACACCCAAACCTTGAATACTCTAAAACCTAAAACCCCTGACCCCCTGCCTTGAACCTTGCACTTTGCACCCAAGGCTGAAGCGCTACACCCTTACCCCTCCACAAACCTTAGCCCCTCTCACAAGCAATAGAAATGTCACAGAACCTGTGAGAGAGTATAATTGGCAGATGCTGTGCATCTTGAGAGACCCCTGAAGGGGCCGGCATCCAGGTACGACCCTGCAACACTACCTCACATCCCCATAGCGAGTTAGGGGTGAAGTGTTTAAGGTTTCAGGGTTTACGGGTGAAGGGTTTGGCATTTTTATTACACCCTACTAATCCCTGAACCCCCAGCACCTTGTGCAGGGGTGGCAGCAGCACCACTAATGGCGACTTGCTTTGTGGCGGCCTGAGAATTTGGAGCAGGGCTTTTTGGCTAGGTTTATTGTAAAGTTGAGGGCTAGTAAGGTCTAGGCTCCCAAAGGCTTCGGGTACGCATATAAGGAGTCTTTGACATGCTGAGACTTTACGTCTGATAAAAAATCAAATTTCCTTTTCGTCTTTGAACTTAAACTTGTTCAATTCGGTCATTAGCAGCTTCTGGTTTGGGAGGGTTGAGGTTGAATGGTTTAGGGTTCAAAGGATTGGTTTTGGTGCTAAGAGACCTGAATGTTGAGACCGCAGGAGCTAAACCATCCAGGCCTACGTTTGAAGTGTGACAGAATGGAATTTGCAGGTTTAGGATTTCAGTCTGTCGCTTTAGCCATCAGGGCTTGGGTTGTAAGGCTCAGGCTCCAACACCCGAGATTTGACACAGGAGCCTGAAATAAAGTACCAACCACGCTCCCACAGAGTCCTCAGCACTATACTACTATACCCTCTTCCACGCTGAACACTAAACTCCCTACACTGACGTTCTCACCCCTACCTTTAACTCACTCTGGTTAGGTCCCTGTGGAGGAGGGATCCGGCACCACCTACCCCCCAAAAATCCTAAAAAGAACCTTCTACAAAGTCCGGCAATATCAACCTTTGACCCGTAACCCCGCAGGCCCTGAATCTGAAAACCTTAGACCTACACGTTCATCCTACCCTCCAGACCCTGAAGCCCAAAAACGTATCAGAACCCACTAACGAAGCACAACTAAACAGCATGTTGAGCTCTTATCGCACTGGGGCTTCCTGCCTTCTTCCCCCGCGGCGGCTCGCCCCGTAACTCTAGGAGCAAGGTCCTCAGGCTTTCTGGAAACAACTCCCATATGCTGTGCGAAAAACGCGCGTCCCCTTTAATGTGAGGTTCCTTATGATCAACCCCCCAGAATTCCGGGCGGAACAATCTTAAAACAAAGGTCAATCTCGAAACAAGGGTCTGGGAAGTGGCGCGTCGGAATTTAAAAACTTTGGAGCCTCAGCTCTCGCAGATGGGTCATCGAAGGTATTGTAGTACTTGTAGTTAGTGGTACGAATAGTAGCACTACGAGGAAGAAGACGAAGAGTAGGAGCAGGAGAGGATTTCCATCTAATTTCAATTGCGAACTATGATCTATTATGGATTTTTGGGCCGTGGATTGTTGTTATTACCACCCCTTTATTGACATCGCCCATGAATGCCCGATGTGCGGATAGGCTGTCAAGAAAACCACAGCCTCGCAATCAAAATCGAATTAAAACCGCATTTCTGTGGCATTTTCTCTGGCCCAGGAATTGTGGCGGATACATTCGTTAGGTTAAGGAAGGCTCATTGGGCTCTTATCCCCTCCCCCGGAGCACTTTGCATAGCCCAACAACCTTCTGTCTATTCCAGCCCTTACTTGTGGGTTCGATTTTTCAGGGGAGCTTTAAGTTCAAGACTAAGCGGAACTTAAACACATAAACAATGCACCCCAAACGCTGAATTAGATCTTGAACCGCAGCTCTTCGAACGCCGTAGAGACTCACCGCAATCTTCCCACTCACCTCCTCAGTCAACCCTTGAATTCAATTCCCTGAGTTAGTCACACGCAGTAAACCTAACCTTAAACCTTACTACTTAATCTTAACACCACAATCTCCAAAATTCAGCCCGAAAGCCCCAGATCCTAAACTCTGAACCTAAAACCTTTAACCCTGAGGCCCGAGCAAAAAAACCCTGAACCCTAAACGCCTCAGAACCTTGATTCTCCTTAACTCAATAAGCCTAAACCACACACCCTCAGATCTAGCCCTGAACCTTCAGCCGAAATGCGTAAATCTGAATCATTCGGACCACCGCGCCCCAAACACTTAAAACCTTAGTTCATCCCAAACCCTTAGATCGCCAAACCCCTACCCTCAACAATCCTTCGCCCCCAACAGCTGACCAAGTAGCTCGAAGAGTTCCTGGAAAGAGTCCAGCTCCTGGCCACAAAGCCATTCAGATTTCAACCAGGGATCGCGCTCAGCCCTGGTCCACTGATGCTTCCCGGGGCCAACGAGACCGATACCACTACATAGGTATATGTGCTCTCATACGTATATTTACATAAGCACATATAGGGATGTATAGGGGCAAACCAGAAAAGTGTCGAATCAAACTGAAAAGCCAAAGGCAGATGAAATGGAGGTAGGGTCTTATGTAGGGATCTATAGGAATGTCGACACCGAAATCACTCCGGCAACTGCAAGGCTAAAGCGGATTCAAATCCACACTCTGATGCAAGCTACGGTCAATATTTTTCCATATAATTAATGGACATGGGTTCCTAGTGGGCAATGTATTTGGTCATTAGGGACTATACACGAAACTACCAAAGGGACAGCCATGTCCACCCTTGATGGTGCGTAACCCTAATATTGACCGTATCTCAGGGACGCTAGGCATGTGCGGAGATTGTACAGGGAGTGTGCAGCGCATGGGTACTCTTGACAAGCCACCACATTGCTAACAGAAGAGGTTCAGGCTCCAGCTTATAAAGTCCCTGAACGTCTGAATATTTGCGAGAGATGTGACACTTTCTCAAATAGCCCCGAACGCCCAAAACTGAACCCCGGCGATACAAGGAGATGAGAACCCGGCATATACGGGCAACTTTTGATTTCTGATTTAGAGCTACCTTTTCTATGGAATAGGAAAATTTTTGTGCGCATATAAGGGCAGCATGAAAGCAAGAAACGAACCTTTGGAGGCCTTAGGGAGTTCCGTAGCCTTGTGCTGCAAGCGTTCATGCAACAAGGAAGGAGCAGTTATATGCATGGAGGCTTTAAGGGGGTAGGATAGCGCGTGCGATGCAAGGATTATGCGGGACAGCCTGAGCCCAACCTGCAGCACATAATGTCAGGGCAATGAAGGTCCCTTTCGAAGTGTTATGATTTTTATTGATTTCTCAGACCTTCTACGTTGTACATGAACTTACTCGAGATCCCATAATACAATCCTGCCTAATCCCAAGACCTGAACCCTGAACCGCCATCCCTGAAAAGGAAACCTACACCCAAAAACAAAAGCCTGTTCCCTTAGCAGCAAACTCTGTGTACGATTGACGTCCTCGACCTTTCAAGCCCTAAACTCCAAGTCCTA